CCTGTTCCGATCGAAGCTTTGACCGACTGCTCTGAATCCTGCGCCTTTCAATTTCGTATAGCTTTGCACATATAACTTTAAGCGCCTTCGCCTTGTTCTGTTTGAACCAAAGAAAGCACAATCAAACAAGTTAAACCAAACAGAAATACCCCATCAAAATCATACAAGCAATAGAAACGAAACTGTTCCTACCATATGTTGGGATCGCTCGTCTTGTATGGACACAGTCAACCCAGATGGAATGTGAGTCACTCTAACGGCACTATTTGTGGTATTTGCATGCTGACCTCCTGAACCGCCTGATCTGAAAGTATCTATTCTCAGGTCCTCGTTCTTCAACTCTACATCTACCTGCACATTCCCTCAACAATATCACAACCAAACTTAGAATCAATCCTATGCCTTTTAGTTACGAAATTGCTCTGGATATCAATTTTCAAGGAATAAAGTGGCTCCAAAGCGTCGAGCTAGAAGGGTTGGAACCTCGTCTGCTTGAGGGAGAATGGCTACAGAAACAGCACTGGTATGAACACGCCCAGACTTCTCTGTCACAGGAACTCGCTGCCCAAGGAAGAGAATGGTTTCAATTATCATTTCACAATGGTAAATAATGCTAAAGGCTATTGATATGCATGTCGAGAAGACCTGTACTCGGTGGATGCCACTCTCAAATTTAAGTTTCCCATACACACCGGCTCCTGATATTGCAGCAACCGCTTCCTACAACGTAGGACGATAAATCCTAAATTATCTTCATGTACTTTAGGTCAAAAGTTCGAATCTTTTACCCCATACATTGTTGAACTAAAAAATTTGCTAATGAAATCACCTTATATCCTTTAAGATCCGATTCTGTTATGTCAACCACCTCAAACTTCCAGCCTTTCTTCTGTGCGTATCGCTCATACCTATTTTGATCCAAAGTAAATAACTCTTGAGAACTAGAACGTGTGGAATTATTATAATCAGTGATACTAAGCATGCTATGCAACTGTCACTCACATTTTGAATATATCCATGGCAAACAAAGAAGCTTCTTCTCCACCAGTTCCTGGTAAAATTTTCTATTAGTTATAACTGTCGAGATCGGAAATGGAGAAAAAGAGAACAGTAAAATTCCTATTCCCAACAAAAAAAAGACTCCCATTAATGGCTACGTTCACTAGTATGCACCATTACCTACCTGCTCTCACCTCCAAGATGCAACCCCTCTCATCAGCATCATCTCTAGGAAGTAACGACGTGAGCAACGAGTGCTGTAATCTTTTCTCTTCTTCAACTGCCTGATTTAATTCCTCGGTAGCCATATCAAGCATATCTTTATCCTCTGGGCATTCGTCCATTAGCGTTCTCAAACCATTAATTTCCTACAGCCAAAACAGTCATAAAAAATTTCTGATATCCTTCTGTAAATAGTACGGCAACCACAAATATTTCATTCATTGGGGAAGCAAATGCCTCTAAGTCAGTCCACTTACAAGAATTTCAATAGGCGTCTGCAATCTCATTGTATAAAACACAAACACCCACACAAGTTTTATTTAGAACACTCGACAACCAAGCCAAAGAAATAGCAAATTAGTAGATGATTGTGAAAGAACAGCATGAACAGAGGTCGTCTTTGCACCGAAAGGAAATATTCCAGTCCTCTCTTAACCTTTTCATAGATAACATCTTAAGCAGTTTGTATTGTAAAGAAAGATAATGTGTTGAATGTATTTCATACCTTCTGTCTAGACCTCAACTCGTTTATTAGATCCATCGTATCTCTGAGTTTCTTAAGCTCCTTGTTAGCCTTTGCATACTCGGACGGTGGAGCTTCTGGCTATGTTCAAATAACACCATGAGTAAAGAAAATGAAATCATCATTTAAGGTCTGTAATTATAAGAGAAAGGGATGCAGGAGAAAAGGAAGAGTAGGAAGGGTGGGAAAGCTAAAATTTTCTTTATTTATTTGATTATTTTTCTTTTATGATAAGAAAAAATTTGCTGAACAAAGAGAGACAAAATTACAAGAATTAAGAAGAAAGAAAATTTATACTACGAGATAGCTAAGACAATTATTTTCTGAAGAATACAGCTGTAAGGTTCTTTCTCGGAAAGAAGCCAATGGTTCCTTTAAATCCAAATTGCCCAAAAGAAAGCTCTAATTATGTTTATCTAAAGGGTTTTCTTCTCCTTTCAGAAGGGGTGTTCTGGGAGAGGAATGAGAGGAAACCCTTGGGATTACGTCGTAAAGCCAGTGACCAACCAAAGGGAGAGAGCATATCATTCCAAAGAGCGAGACAGCAAGCCTTGTGACTGAGATTCAGCTTCATTCTTGCATGGAAGCGAGACTGATAAATATGGCATAGGCTGCTGTAAGAGGTCATGGGTATTGCAACATTATGAGCAAGCTTCCAAAGAAAGAATATGTGAGATCCTACGTCGGTTGGAGAGGAGAACAAAACATCCTTTATAAGGGTGTGGAAACCTCTCCCTAGCAGACATGTTTTAAAAACTTTGAGAGGAAGCTCGAAAGAGAAAGCTCAAAGAGGACAATATTTGTTAGCGGTGGGCTTGGACCGTTACAAATGGTTCAGAGCCAGACACTGGGCGATGTGCCAGTGAGGAGGCTGAGCCCCGAAGGGGGGTCGAACACGAGGCGGTGTGCTAGTAAGGACGTTGAGCCTCGAAGGGGATGAATTGAGGGATCCTACATCGATTGAAGAATGGAAAGAGTGCCAGCGAGGATGCAGGGCCCTGAAGGGGGTGAATTGTGAGATCCCACGTTGGTTGGGGAGGAGAACGAAACTACCCGAAAGGGAAAGCTCAAAGAGACAATATTTGTTAGCGGTGGGCTTGGACCATAATATGGGTCTATCCAAATCGAATACGGTAGTAAAAGGGTTGTTTCTCTTCAGCAATGATATTTTAGTCAAGGAGGAAAGAATTGGTTGTGAATGTGTCACTGCTGTCTAATCTCCAAACCTATTTATCTTCCAAATGTGTGAGAATTACAGCTTCTAGGCGGGAAAGCTAAGGTAGAATATGATTATTATGAAGTTTCATAAGATCATATTTTATCTCATTCGATTTGTTGTACAACTTTTAATATCTTAACCAGAAACAAAATTTTGAAGCTCTGTGATGCTGTACAGCAAATGAGAGAGCATAAAAAAGTAAGAATAATTGGTACCCGGTTGATTATATTCAGAAGAAAAGAGCTCCTGAGCTCAATGGCCTTCAACCTTTGTTCCATTATCTTGATAAGCTCCATTGATAGCTGCTGCGATTGTACTTCGCCTATTTTAAACAAGTTTGAAGAGATGTTCAGATTATAGGAGGCCAAGCATCGAAAGATACAAACAAAGATTTCAATCAAAATGTAATAGCCAATAAATAATGCAGAACTGAATTCTATATTTCATAATTCAAATGAATAAGTAATCCACAGCATCCAAAGTAAAATGTGGAAGAGACCTAACCCAATAAATCCGTGTCTGAGCCAAAGCCGTGATAACGAAGAAAACAAAGAATAGGACTGAAAAAATGGAAGAAAGATAAGAACCTTTGGAATAAAAACGAACAGACGGAGTAGAAAGAAGGTCGGATGGTGGCGGGAGCAACGGATTTGTACAGGTTTGCGCAGGATTCGTGCGGCAATGTAAGGCAAGTGTTCGGATTTGTTCAAGAAGCCGCACAGTTGGTCGATGGATTCTCATAGTGTTCTTCTAGATCTAATCTGCAGTATGTGGGGCGTTGCGATGGATGCAGCAGACCAGAAGGTCCGATGTTAGAGCACAGGGCGGAAGGGTAAACTTGAGCAAAGAGATGAACGATGAGGATCTCCGGTCCGGCTGTCTGAAATCGGGCGTGGTTAGACCATTAGGTTTTGGGCCCAACCGAACCGGAGCCTAGTGGCGTGGACCGATAACGGTGAGTGGGAGTGGGACCCTCCCGTTCTCCGTTATTCGCCGCAATCTTGCTTGGGTTGTCTCCCGGTTCCCGCCGGCCGTTTGGTTTCCGCCGGTCGTTTTTGCCTTGGCATTTGAAAATAAGCAGCAAGCAATGGCGAGAAGATGCTGTGTTGGTTCGTATCGGTAATTGGCCAATGCGTGAGGTGCAAGAGGGTGTGTTTAAATGAAGTTTGCAACTTATAGGTGGAAAAGATTGCAAACCCAACAAGTATTTTAACGAAAGCTAGTTCAAATTCTTGGTTCTGGGTCGATCTCGACCTCCAGTCTCCAAGAGTTCGCTCAATTTTTTTAGGTCTTCTAGTTAGTCGTTCCTGCTAGTCTCTTTCTTTTACATCATCATCATTCTCAACCTAAATTATAGGCTCTCGCAGTGCTCTCAATGATACTACTAAGAACCTCTACCATTCGTGACCAATTTACTAAAAGGAAACTAACATGCAAACTTCCTAATTATCCCCCAAAATACAATCATATAGCATAAGACATTATAGGTCACTTTATAGTTATCTGGACCCCTGACAATTGAGTTAGGTTAAGGGTCAGTTGGTGAACCCCTAACAATTCATAAATAGAGACGAAACATAGTGACCTAGACATGGATTTTGAGTTTTGCTCAATTCAGGACTCGATTCATGTATTTCTCAAAAAACATGTATCATAATGTTTAGCATGCTCTTACATACATCAAATCAACTCATTACATGTTCAAAAAAGTATATATTGTAACGTTAAACATGTTTTTTCATACATCAAATCAACTTAGTTCAAATTCAAATTTTTATGACAAGCTTCTTATATCATGTTTCCATACATATTACAAGTATAGCTTAATCCAAAATTCCGAGATGTCACTTGGAAAGCGCAATACAGTCGCTTGGGTTCGGGTCTTCAAAAAGATCTCAAATTTAATCAAATTCCTCAAATATGCCCTAAATTAAGTCGAGAATAAACAGCTCGAAAAGATAAAACGAGCAGTAAGCAAGGGCGAGGAGATGAGTTTGTATCAGTAATTGGGCAATGCGTGAGGTGAGGCCAAGAGGGTGCGTGTAATTTCTATTTTTATAATGATGGGTGCCAAATGAAGTTACAAGGCACAAGTTGAAAAGAATGTAAATTTGTTATTATAATACAAACCCAAAATTGGTATGCCGTCGACAGAAGCTTGTTCCTCCGATAGCGACGTATATACGAACCGAACATGAGTTAAAGTTGATCGATTCTCATTGTTCAATTCAATGTGTATGGGTGCGTGATATACTCGACTCCAGCCAGCCAAGGTGGCTTGCTCTATGCTCATGACATGATACAAAATGGCTAAAGGGTCCGAGTAGTCTCATGGATTGAAGAAACTCGAACCACCAATGTTGATAGCAATGAGCACCGAGATACTCGTGATCACAGCAAGCCAAAACAGCGACGATTCTGCCATTTACACATATTAGAACACTTCACCATCATCCAAACAAAAATATATGCATGATCAATAACTAGACAACAATATTACCAGCTAAACCTCTATCTCCAACGCCAGAAACTGCGGGTTTGTTATCAGTAACCACATCACGAGATCTCGACCTCGTTGTCCCTATGCTAGAAGAAGTGGTGGCGTCATTCTGAAGCTTCGTATTCAATGTGTCCGATGCTACTATACCCTGAAATTCTTCGCTCACAATCAATGCCGCTAGAACGTCCATAAATGATTCCTTATCAGTTTCCTTCGCAGCATCGTTTTCACCCTCGTCGTAAGCACCATTTGGTTCATCAGGTTCATCCGAATCAGATGACTCGTCATCCGAAATATCTGTATCCAAGGCATCTAATGCAGCCTTGTCGTCCTCTTCGTCCTCGACGTATGCTTTGTATGTCAATCTCACTAGTATTTCTCCAGAAGACCTGTTTCTAAAGAGTCCCCAACCTCCCCCCAAAACAACAATTCTGTCCGTTGGTACAGTATCTTGAAGAGAACCAAGATCAACCTGTATGTTTTGTAAGAACAAGTAAGAAGATATCGAGTTCAAACTATATGATATCATTACCAGAGAGCTGATGCTGCCACAGGGCTCAGAAATTGATATCGATAACAAGATTACCAAAACCACGCAAAATATACATACTATTCTATAAGACTTTCATATGATCACCAAGAATGCTGGTTATACAAGATGCTCAAGCTTATGTAGCAGTTCTATTCAAGAGCAGAGTACCAAAATCTAGTCAGAACTTCGGGTTGACAAATGAGCTAATGATGAGCAACCCCAACTTATAGAAGACGAAAACAAATTAGAAGAACAGCAAGCCAAGTTCTAAACCACTGTTGAATTGACCAAACTAGTTTTGATCATTAAAAATAAAAGATTTAAACTTACCCTTGAACGCAATACGAACATAGTTCAGCAGTTTTAGTGTAATAGCCGAAGCCCGCCACTAGTAAATATTGTCCGTTTTAGCTCGTTACGTATCGTCGTCAGCCTCATGATTTTAAAACGCATCTGTTAGGTAAAGGTCACTGACACACCGCCTGGTGTCTGGCTTTGATATCATTTGTAACACTCCATTGAAAAAAAATCTCACCATGCTAGCGGTGGGTTTGGGTTGTTACAAATGGTATCAGAGCTAGAAACTGGATGGTGCGAGGCACTAGTCGGAGTAGTGCTAGACCCTCTCCATAGAAGAGGCGTTTTGAAACCGTGAGGCTAACGGTGGTACGTAATGGGTCAAAGCGGACAATATTTGCTAGCGGTGGACTTGAACCGTTCTAGTTTGCATAGTTAGAAGAGAAAAATAAAGATACGATCTAAATGGTTGATGGATAAAGAAATCTCGCGGAGTTTCACAAGTTTTAAACTTGCCCTTGAATGCAATACCATAGATATTTCAAAATCTGACTATACTAACTGCAACGAAAGATAAGTTACCTCTGCATTACCAATGGTCAAATCTGCAAATCCAAGAGAGTCTTTCACTTGGATATACAATTTCTGTTTCCTAGGATTTGCAACAAGCATATGGAAATCCTGCCAATATTCCCAACGCCAATTAACGCGAGTACACAAACGAACCCGAAAATAACCAAAGATGGAACATATTCTCCGGTAAAACAAAAATCAGAAATGAGCATCACCTGATTCCAGATTGGCTCACCAGGTGATCCAATTACAGTGGTTTGGCTGTTCTTTTTGCTGCGTATTATTTGATCGCCCAAGCTTAAAATCACGTATGGGTCCGTTTTTCCTGAGAAGAACAAGGATTGATGAATAACGTATAGGACTATAATAGTTACTATCTACGGTTAATCAGATGCTAAGTTTCTGACAGCAAAACAGCAGTGTCGCAACAATGTTTATAAGCACTACAAAGCATGGTTTTTAGAAAGGACAATATAGATAAAATGGCATACCATAAAAGACATAAGAAAGCTTCCGAGCATCTACGAGGGTTACTGAAAGTTCCCCAACAAAACCTTTATTTCCTTCTTGTATGTCTCCCGATTTAACCTCATCCGGGACGGGTCCAACCGCTTTTCCTTTTTGGAAATCTAGAACTATCTTCTTTGGACGTACAAATAATTTAGGTAAATCCTCTGTGAGAAGTTTTGTCAAAAACCTATGCAGAGATAATTCGCATAATACAAGTCAGAGGACAAACAGATGGAAGAAAAACAAGCCTGAAAACAACTAGAACACTTGGTTGAATTATCAGCTATATGAGAAAATTATGCCATGAACTACCACCATACAATGATGACAACCAGAAAACTGGTTCTATAATAGTCCAAGTCCGCCACTAGCAGATATTATCCGTTTTGACTCGTTACGTATCGCCATCAGCTTTACGGTTTTCAAACGCGTCCACTAGGGAGAGATTTCCACATCCATATAAGGAATGCAAAGTTCTCCTCTCCAACCAACGTGGGATCTCACAATCCACCCCCCATGGGGGCCCAGCGTCCTCGTTGGCACACTGCTCAGTACCTAGCTCTGATATCATTTGTAACGGCTCAAGTCCACCGCTAGTAGATATTGCCCCCTTATGTTTTCCCTTTCGGGCTTCCCCTCAAGGTTTTTAAAACGTATCTACTATAGAGAGAGTCTAGCCCTACTCTGACCAGTGCATCACACCGTCCAGTGATTGGCTCTGATACCATTTGTAACGGCCCAACCCCTTCCTAACAGACGCGTTTTAAAAACCTTGAGGGGAAGTCCGAAAGGGAAAGCCCAAACAGGACAATATCTGCTAGCGGTGGGCTTGGGCCAATATAAGTTCGGATCAAAAGAACTTTTACTTCATGATATAATCCTCAAAACCAAAGGCTTCAATAATAGCAATCTTCTTTACTAGTCGAAGTACTATTGTCAAGGATTCCAGAGTCCCATTAGCATGAACAATTCATGGGTTGAACTAGTAAAATATTCAACGGGACAAATGTGATATAGAATATCATTACACAACTTTCTGGCATAGAATCGATCTTTATTCCTTTCAAAATTGTGATGAAGATAAAATTTTAACATAGAGCAGTCGACAACGCTAAGGTGGGAAGGATCGACTCCATTTCTTCCTTGAGCTAATCAAGTTATATAGCAACTATTCATCAGTTAAGATTAATGAACTTACATGGAGAGAACAGGAATGGCTGATGATGTCCCAAGCGTGCAGCAAAAAGATGGAAAGACAGAGAAATGTGCATCAGCATCCAAATTTCAACACTTAAAGCAAAGAAAACTATGATCAAGAAACGAATGGAACCACCACAAGCATGCATACTAATGTAATTGGTAATCAAAGTCAAGAAACTACAACATACCCATTAAATTGAACAAGCGGAACGGTGACAACTCAAATTTGATCTTTGGTAGTGAAACAAATGCCCATGAAACGGCACCTACCCAAGGTTCAGTTGGAATAAGCCGCAACTTGACCCATAATTCACCATCTATGTCAAAATTTCGGACACCAACTGGAACAGTAATGGGGATGATGCCAAATTTTAGTGAAAGCATTAACAACATACGAGCTCCGCCAGTATAGCGCAGACCAATTTGGTACCTGAAGAACATTGAATGAAGAAAAGCAATTGTAATACGGTTGTTCTAATAAAACTGAAAGGATAGCTCAATTACTTAGACACGTGGCCTTGTATAATTGCTCAAACCCGCTGCCAACAGATATTGTCCTCTTTGGGCTTTCCCTTTCGGACTTTCCCTCAAGGTTCTTAAAACGTGTCTGCTAGGAAGAGGTTTTCGCACCCTTATAAAGAATGTTTTGTTCTCCTCTCCAAAACTGATATGGGATCTCACAATCCACCTTCTTTCGAGGCCCAGCATCCTCACTAACACACTACCCAGTGTGTGGCTCTGATACCATTTGTAATGACCAAGACTACTGCTAGCATATATTGTCCTCTTTGGGCTTTCCCCTCAAGGTTTTTAAAATGCGTCGGCTAGGGAGAGGTTTCCACACCCTTATAAAGAATGCTTCGTTCCTCTCTCCAACCGATGTGGGATCTCACAATCCACCCCCCTTTAGGGCGTGATCCCCTCTCTAATCGATGTAGGATCTCATAATCCACCTCTCTTCGGGACCCAGCGTCCTCGCTGGAACACCGCCCGGTGTCTAGCTCTAATACCATTTGTAACGCCCCAAGACCACCACTAGCCAATATTGTCCTCTTTGGGCTTTCCCGTTCGGAGGCTTCCTCTCGAGGTTTTTAAAATGCGTATTACAGGGAGAGATTTCCACACCCTTATAAAGAATATTTCGTTCTTCTCTCCAACGGACGTGGGATCTCACACCTCGACTAAGAAGTGAGAGATTAGTCATACACCCCACCTAGCCTCCACTTAGAAACTAAATGTAAAAACAATAATGACTGAATAAATTCATGGAACTCTATCGCCAGTAAACATCGCAGGAAGGTGTTCAATCTGCACACCAGAGAGTATATAAAATTTGAAAGATGGGTTCAAAGTAACTTACTGCAAATCATTGGCTCGACGGGATGTTCGCCGCTCAACATTCCTAACAGACAATGGTTCTTCCCCCAAGGAAAACTGCTTGATTTCCACCCTCTCCACATAATCAGGTTTCTTCAAATTATCAATAACAGGTTGCAACAATCCAACAAGCCAATCCTCAAGGCCAGGTCGATAAACTTTCCATAATTTACCCAACACCATATTCACCCACTCCACCGACTCCTTCCTTTGTAAATCCTTCTCCAAAAACGACGAGAAACTAGTAGGCACCTGGGGCCATGTACCACGACGCCCATCTTCATTTCTCGATTTACTTCTCTTTCTAAGTGTCCACAGTTTGTCGAAGGCGACTCCAACAAAGAAAAAGAAGACGAAAAGTGCAACAATGTTTCGATTAATAGGTGGCGAAGGGATAGGGTGTATGACACCGAGTTGGGTCCTTAACTTATCGACAATAGGATCCTCCTGAAAAGCAGTGAAACTTGATCCAACTTGCACAGAAGAGTCCTGGGAGAATTCTTCCCTCTCCAACTCATTAGTAGTACGCTTGACTACAAAAAAATTGGCGCTCCTCCTCGCGAGAGTTGCAAATTGTAGATTGAAGTGGCGAGTAGCGGCATCCGGAGAAAGAGAAGAAGGGAAGAACCGTTTTCGCCGGGGATTTCGGGGAAGGAAAGCGGCGGTGGAAAGGGAGTTGCGAGCTCCGGTAATGAAGTTGTGAGAGGGGGAATGTTGAGGGAAGGAATTCGAGGAATCAAAGGGCGGAGATGTGGAGTGCGTAATCATTTAGATACAGAGAAGGGAAGATGGAATGGAGAAATCATATGGGAACAACATGGATTGGGCGGCGGAGGTGGCTGTGGAAATGGAGAAGACGGCGGAGTTTGAAGCAGAACATGGGGGGGTAGAGGATGGGAGATGGAATGGGGAAGATATGAGGAAGAGAAATCCAGGATTCCGGGAAGAAGGGAGGAGAGAATTGGGGGAGCGGGAGAATCTAAAACACACAGGATTATTGGAAGCCTCAGAAAATGGAAGAGTGATAATATAGCAATGGTTTCTAAATTTTTTGGAAATACCACGTGGACTGGACGGAGCCGACGCGGCATCATTTACGGTCACGCTCTCCTCTACTCACAATAATAATAATAATATATATATATATATATATATATAACCTACATGTCCCTAGAACTATGAACTAGACTTTGGTTTGGGCTATGACGGTCATTCCTCTTAAGACCATAAAAAATTTCTTGTGACCCCATACGAATTCTAAGGAACCATCAATAAGAACACGTGATATATTATCGAAAATAGGGATTTTAGGCATAATAAAAAGGAATGTTGTAATTCATATGGGTGCATCTTCGTAAGTATAAAAGAAATGTTGTAATTCAGATGGGTGCATCTTCGTAGGTATTGGGTGCCCCCATATTGGCCCCTTATATAAAGTCAATAGAGATACATATATAAAGTTTCATACCTTCTTGCTAGAGCTTTGATAGATTCCCACCTTCTTGCTAGAGCTTTGATAGATCCCCGGCCCTTCACTAATGGTTTGCATGGCTTTCTTTCTTTAGTAAGGTAAGGGCGTCCTCTGATCATTGAACCGGATTGGGCAGAAGCACAAATGAGAGGTAATCTTACCCCTTTGTTTGATTTTTCGGCAAAACAAACCCAAAGAAAGGGCATAGGCAATCATTGGGATACCTTTTTTTTCTTCTATACGCTATTTCGCTTGTTTTGGCTAACTAAACTAAACCAGCCCATTCCACCTAATCACAATAGGGAGTGGGTTGGAAGGAATGAATTGTGTTGGGTTGGAAGGAATGAATTGTGTTGGGTTTGGGAATCGGATTCAATTAAAGTAGGGAGTGGAGTGCAGTATGGGACCCGTGAATTAGAAAAGGTGAGAGGGTCTAATCGAATGGTCATATTCAGAACATTACAAAACGTGGGGAACTCATCAATGAAAAGAAGAATGTAAATTGGAATGGACGCCAAATATTCCACGTTCTTCTCATTTATGTTCATACTGAAACCCTGTTTGAATTTAGAACAGCACAGAAACGTGTTCCAATTGGTGCCGCTTTCTATTTGATCTCACTGGGTGCATACAAAAATGTTGAATGAAGACAAACTGGGTCAAGAAAAAGGGTGCAGGATCCAAAACAACCAGCTGAGTACGGAGTCACAACACCACCAGACGACTAGGCGGAGGATTGAAGAACAGATTGAACACCAAGGATGAATAGTCATTTAACATTAAACAACACCTTTCCCAAGTCTGAAAACGTTACATGATTAAAATGAAGAAACCCAAATCATCGAGAGAAAAAAAAAAATCAGTCAACCCGCAACACCTACTTGACTCGTCCATAAAACTTAGCCTTCTCCTGTGTTGTCTGAAACCGTCCATGGCCAAATTTGGAGGAAGTGTCGATGAATTTCAGTTTGATTTCCTCCATAGCAACCCTAGACGTCTGCTTAATCAGTGACTGCCTCAATGTGACAACACGCTTTTTTGGACCCACACAACAGCCCTTGATCATCAAGTAATCCTCTTTGACCACACCATAGTGAGGGAATCCGCCAATTGGAGTTATGTCCTTCTCAGTCCTAAAAAGAATAAATATCCACAAACATCAGTAGCAGTAATTCAAGAAAAGATAAGCCAAAAAGGGGAAGGCACATGTTGACTAACCTATCGAACTCGGTCATAGCAGAATGGGAGTCTTGGCCGGTCTTCCCAACCTTATAAACCTTCTTATTCATCTCAGTGCGATGATGGTAACCATTCTGCCCTGCTCGAGCAACAGTGAATGACACTCTGGCTGGATGCCAAGCACCAATACAGGCTACCTTGCGAAGGCCACGATGGGTCTTGCGGGGGAGACGAGTGACACCCCAACGGGTCACAACACCTTCATAACCTTTTCCTTTAGTTACCCCAATAATATCAATCATCTCATCCTTTTGAAAGATTGCATCAACAGGGATCTGCTTCTCAAATAAACTATATGCATAATCAACTTTCTTAGAAACATCTCCACCATTCACCTGAATTTCCATCAAGTGAGCTTTCTTTTGCTTTAGTCCTTGCATCTTCCTTATCTGAAACAAAGTCCATCCTCTTAAAGTGGGTACTAAAACATAGAACTACATATCAAATATTAACAAAATTTTGCAACGGTTCAAATTTTTGGGAAGCACAAAATACCTGGGAATGGGCCAGAACACGAATCACGGTGCCGTATTTCTTCAATTTCTCCAACTGTGCGAGAATATCCTTATTTCCATCTTCGGTCTCAAACTTCTTTGAGTACTTAGAGAAAGCTTTCTTCTTAGACTTGCACCAGTTCTTATAAAATCTCCGCTTTACCTCCTCACTTAAATGCTGGGCCCATACAGTTTTCAATGAACGCAAACCTCGTGGCGTTTTAACATAGCCAACAACACCGACAACAACCATAGGGGGCGTTTCTATAATTGTTACAGCTTCACATGTTTCTTTCTTGTGTAACTCTGAGAGGATCATAAGACTAAAATCAATAATCCAACAGATTTTAGAAATAGAAACAAAATAAAACAGGATTGTCTACCATAAGTTTTCACATCACATTGCAAAAGGGAAATTTAATCTAAATAGAAGGCCTAACACAAGATTAACCAAAACAATATAAGCTACGCAATGGTGCCGTAGAGAAACAGCCATAACTAGGCAGCTGTTGGATATATTGCTATATGCATCTATATCATTTTCATAATCTAGATATAAATATCTTTCCACCAGACTTACTTGATCCAGGCTTTTCAACTTCTCTGACAATATGAGTCATTCCAGCCTTGTATCCAAGGAAAGCAGTTAATCTACAAGGCTTCGAAGGATCATCTCTGGGAAATGCCTTCACTGCAAAGTACAAGTCACCATCAGGTAATAACATTGAGCTAAAGAATATCAAATGAATTTAGTACACGCAATGCGTGTTGTAATGCTTTCCAGTATATCATCACATGATTTTTTTTTAAAAGTAAACATGCATTTAAAATCGAAACATGGAAAGCTTATGCAAGGATTGAATGAAAGAACAAAGCATCCACAATATGCCTGAGCTACATCTGATCAGAGTGAGAAGCACTAATTACAGAAGAAAATACTCAGATGACTACAATATAAAAAGGAAAAACTGATTGAAGCACTTGGAACGATCAAACCAGTGTAAATTAAAAGACTGACAACTGACTCGTTACATGCCGAATAAAAAACAATATGAATGATCTGTACAAATACAATAATCTAAAACTATTAGTCATAAAATAAGATCTAGCACAGAAAGATTGCCAATACCTTTCCCTCTATGGCGAGAAGCTCTCTTTCTGGGAAGAAACCCCAAAGAGCCATGTCTTGGGTGCTCAAACTTGCGGTGAGACATATTGCGTTCCTATTACGATTAAATTTGAAACTACCAAATTTCAATGATGTTTAATAGATCCATTAACGTCATCCCAAAAAGACCAAACGTTACACGGGTTCTTCTTTCAAACGGTAATTAAGCATAACATTTCAAATAAAAAACATATAATACTAGAGGGTACAAAATAATAGATAAAGATAGACCAAAACAGAACATTCGTAAATATTAACGAAAACCATAAAGAGAAGAAAAAGCAGATAGTTTTGAATCAACGCAACTTACATTAATTAGAGTGGAACAAAAAATCTCAAAATACGGATAACAGGTTCCAGGTTGCAAAATCTTAAAATTTCAAAATAAGGATGCATGAAAAAACAGGTTCCAGGTTCAAATTTTCCTAGTTTCAGGTTCCATGATCCTGCAGACATCAAAATGACCCCCAACCAGCGGCCTATGGCACTAAATAATGCCAAAACTCAAGCTCATCCGTGTTTCAACCCAAAAACCAATAAATTGGCTTTGGAGAAAGAGCCTGTTCTAGACTCCAGCCCTGATTATTCATAGTTTTTTTATGGGGAAGCCATTTGGAATGTCATTAGGAATATTGGAATTTAACCGGAAAAACATGAATGGAACAGCAGTCGGGGATAAAAAACCAAAATTCCAGAAATATAAGCCCTGAATTTAGATTTTCAATCCTCCAGATGCAATTCTTGCACTAAAAATATCCTCCAAATGAAATATTTTCTTCAGCGTCGTTTTAACAATAAATCAAAAACATAAACTACAATGGTAAAGTTACAGATCGATTCACCAGAGCCCATATCACGTCAAATCCAAAGAGACAAAACAATTTAAAAACAAATTAGAGTATACTGCAAAGGGAAATAAGAGATCCTGCAAGTAGAGGTTAGAGATGGAATGAACAAACTATAGTCGAAGTAAATCGAGTAATATAACCGTGAATTCAATGGCGACCATACTTGTCGAAACTGTTATACCTGACACTGGGAATAGAGAGGTGAAGAACAGGGCTGTGCCTTCGTAACTCGAGTTAGGGTTTCGACTTTCAATTTAGGGGACCTATATAGTGGATGCCGCCGGCTACAATTTGGCTGCTACGCTGTGCGGCGCATGAATTAAGTGATACAAGGGAAGAAATTAGGGTTTTCTCGCAACATAATTGGGCTAGGGCTTCTTTTAAATGGTATTGGGCTTATAAAATATGAGCCCATTTGAAGCCCAAGCTCACGTGTTTACAACTGAGAAGCACGTGAGCATTGAGACGACATGTCGAACTGTCATTCGACAGGTGGAAAATTAAAACGGCGAATACGACCTAGCGAAGCAAACCTCCATCGTCTACCTTGGTAACTTGTTCAACTTATGGCGGAGTTCAACCTTTAAACTTCCGCGAGAACACTTGCTACATTGTTTAAAGCTTTGGAATCAGTGTTCGATTCTCATAATCTTGGCGGGAGTGGCGGAAATCAATGACGGAGAACCAGAAGCATAGGCTAGAGTTCAGTTCCGATTCATCACCGCAAAGGCCATTGAAAATTGGAAAGACTACGAACGAAGATCTCCTTGGCGATAAGGAGGAAGCG